GGGGGGTGCTGTGCAGCTGGGGTAGTCGGTAGAGGTGGGAGGCATTAGCCTAAGTTGGCCGAGGTGGGTGGAACATGGAAGGTAGAAGTAAACAGAACATGAAAGGATGCCAGGATGGATGTGCCTGGGTTAATCGTGAAATTAGGGGGAAAAACATTGTGAGATGTCTCTGGCGCGGGGGGAGCTTGACGGCCAGAGTCAGTATGGCATGGGACAACTTAAGGCAGGACGCAGTCGACTACCCTTCTCTAAACACATTTAAGTTGAGGCCAACAGCAGACTGGAAGCAGCAGCCTAACTTACGCTACAACACCTTCTCCTACTGAAAGCCATATCTCTGACTGCCGCATGCAGTTTGACAGGTATTTAATCGTGGCTCGTCTTGAAGAGGATCGATTCATAGCCTTGGTACCGGTCTCATTACCCTAATCGGGTACTTATTGGCTGGATTAAGCTCAGGTTAAAGATTCACGATCAGAGTATACAACCTGGACCTCTGGAGGGACTGATGTAGATGGATGGGCTTCTTCCGCCGTGTGATGCGTCATGACATCATTGGCACGCGCCTGACGTGGCGCCGGGAACCCAGAAGTGCTCTGGAGGCTCGGAGAGCGAGAGAGGTGTTGTGCCACGGGTGCTTGAATAGTTTGGAAAGTTGCGCTTTTAACAGACTGATGTTAAGGAATGTTGCGTTGGACGATTGCTTTCTTCATTTGAGACTGTCCGCTCGGAGAAGTGGGATATACAGAGACTGTCGGGGCCTCGGAATGGTGAAGGAGGGTCACGGTGGTTTCACCGGTCGTTCGAGCACCTGGAACTCCGGGGGTCAGGAGAGTGGCGTGGGTCGAAGGATGGGATTCCGAAATCAGGATCTCCCCCCTGGGCTGTTGGAAGGCGGGGCCAGAACAGCTTCGGAGTTAACGGAGGATGGTTATCGAGAGCTGCGGGGAATGTGGATGGCTAAACGCAGACGAAGTTGCTAGCGACAAGCGTGGTGAGAAAAGGAGGGAGCTTCGGGATATGGCTGGTTGTCCGGAAGGGTTGAGGAGAGCCTTTGTGAAAGGTAAGCGGTTTTAATATGTTGTTTGTTTGTCTCGTGCCTCGTGTCTGTCTCGTGCCTCGTGTCTGTCTCGTGCCTCGTGTTGAAGCGTATGAAAGCTGAGTCAGAGAGCGTTTGCTTGTCTGGATGTGGGGTAGGGGTAGAGGGATGTAGGGATAGAGCGTCTGCTGAGTTAGAGAGCGTCTGTCGTACGTCATGTGAAGACGAGAGTCGAAGAGGGAGTGAACGAGATTGTTGTGCTTAAATACTCTGTGCAGAGAAAATGAGCGGCGTTCTGGGCGTGGCCCTGTTCCTGAACAAAGTTTACACATACATATACAGTAACAGGGTTCAATGAAAACTATTGGCGCAATTGACTGCACTCATATTGCTACAAGGGCTAAAGTAATGTGTGTCCATTAATCAAAATCACCATTCGATTAATGTCCAAGTCATATGTGACTCCAACATGGTCCTGACCAATGTGGTGGCACAGGGGCCCGGCTCAACACATGACTCCTTTATCCTGACGTAAAGCAGTGTAGAGAACAGACTACGGGCAGCTATGCGTGACGGCTGGCTTCTTGGTAAGTTATAAAACAACATATTGTAGCAATTATATTCAGTATATAGCACCCAAAAAAAGTCTGCAAGATAATCAGGTCAATCTGAACAATATGGCGCAGAGGACTCCTCCACCACCCGAGCATGAGGGACCCTGACCCACAGCCACCTCCCTGACAACAAGGCTATCAACAGGAAGCAAGGATCCGTGAGGATGTAATGCGGCATTTGTAAAAAGACAGCAAGTATGGTTCACTTTTTGGCAAGATCTTGAAATTGAAATGTCACTTAACACAACCCTTATTTGTTCACGTTCCTCTGCAATGACATTCATAGCGCTGATTGTGTTCCCTTTGCGTTTGTAGCACCGCATTAGTCAGAACCTGGCCACTTCCAGGCGTGTAATTTGCACGGGACAAACTGGTGCTGGGGACAGCCGGATGCTCTGCGGCTGCAGCACCGTCGCCGGGAACCTCCTCGCCACCTACCGCTCCCATCAACTCTGGGAGAACAAACATAAAATCAGCTCACTGTCATGTAAGCTCATTTTAGCCATGTAATAAAATATTAAACTGTGCTTTACCGGTTCGTCTGTGGTCCCACTCTGAGACATGTCGGTGTCACCCTTTTTTTTTTTACCTCCACCTTCAGATCAGATCACTTTTTTTTATCTCTGGCACTGTTCTGTCGTTCGCACTCACCCCATTAACAGCTGCATGTTGCCACTCACTTCAGGACCCCGCTGCTGTGGCCACCAAACAAAATGTCCCTTCTGACCTATATCTCACCCACAAGTACCTCAATTTCGGTGTAAGAAAAATTAATTTTTTTCATCTTCCTCTAAGTTGTAGCCATAATTCACCGTAAATAACCATTAATCAGCAGTATTATTTATAAGCATCAATATTCATGACGTCGACCATGACATTGACCATAATAATAACAATTATTGAATTTCATTTTAGTAAGTTTTTCATTATGCATTGTAATTTCTGTTTTGTGTATGTTTTAATGCAAACTCGATTCAATTCCATTCAATTTATTTTCTATAGCCCAAAATCACAAATCCTCAGAGGGCTTTACAATCTATACACATACGACATCCTCTGTCCCAGGACGCTCACATCAGTACAGGAAAAACTCCCCCAAAAAGACTTTAACAGGTGGAAAGAAGAGGGAGAAAAAAGTGGAAGAAACGTTTGGGAGAGCAACAGAGAAGGGATCCCTCTCCCAGGATGAACAGAATTGTGATAGATGTCATGTGTACAGAATGAACATAACAGAGTTACAACACATTCAATGCATATGACATAAATTATTCATATAATGAGTAGTAAGCAGAATAATGATGGAAAAATTATGACTAATAAGAGCAGCAGTGGATACAGTAGAATAACAATGATAACAAACGCAGTAATGGTATCAGCAATAGCAATAGTAATGCAGGCACTAATAATAATGATAGTAGCATTGGGTATCAGCAGGGCAATGGCAGGAGGCAGGACCAGGGTCCAGATATAACCACGATCCATGGAAACCTGTGAGGCAAGAAAGCACAAAGACGATGTCAGTTACAGGTTTAATCAATTTCAGACACACTAAAATGACACATAAAGCACAAGCATTGAAACTGACAGAGAGCAAAATAGCTCAAGTCTCCAAAACTCTAAAGACATTTTCTGCTTTCCACCCAATTTGCAATTCAACACTTATTGCAACAGACTTCACAGAGTACTCTCGAAAAAGCCTCAGGAATCTGACACAAAGTCACTTGTTGGCCAATTCAAAACACTGCCTTTCATGATGTCATACCAATGGACTAATTGGCCAGTACACTTGCCACCTGGCCAAACACCTAATTGCTCTGACGGCGTTTACGTTCCCAAAAATGTCTGTTTTTTGCACTTTTTCCAAAAAAGAAAATATTCCTACTAAGCTGATTACATGGCTAATATTCCACTAATATTACCGTGTTCATCCAGCCGTGCACACTCTAAATAACTTAACCGTTGGTGGACTTGTTCGAGCGTGCAAACACAGCCTCCCTTTCATTCCTTCAATCATCTTCTTGTCTGCATTGCAATATATGCACATATCCAAACACTTGATGCCATCCAAGACTTTCATGATGTTTAAAAGAAGGTAGGTTTCTTCTTGCGATCAGAAATGTGGGCATGTCTGCCAAGTGTTAGCTAGTTGGTTTGTGTACGTGTTTGCGTACTCAACCATGCGTATGTAGGAGTACATAGATCATTTTCTTTCACTCTACACTATTCAGGACTCTTCAAATCATTCCATCAGTTGTTGAGGCTACACTGACCAATCACTATATTTTAGTTTGTTTTCTAAAGGACTGAGTGACAAAGACGTCATGGTTGAAGGGTTCAAATGACCAATGCGACACAAGAAGCAACAACAATCCACATGGTTTTGTCACATGATTAAATTGGACTCAAAGAAATTCAAAGCCACATCATACGGGACAACACAACCACATTTCATCGGCTTTAACTTCACATAAGAAGGGGAAGGAACATCATTGTTCACAGAGCCATTGTGGATGTTTCTGGCCAATGTGGCAGCAACATCACAATGTGTGCTGCCATTATCACACATAATGGTGTCTGCCACTGCCACGCCAACCTCGGTCCATACAAATGGCCGACATGCTCCAGATTTTTGATTTTGTCAACTCTATTTTTATTACTGTTAATGTTAATTTATCTTTCTTTTTGTCTTTGTAAAGCACTTTGTAACTTATTTTTGAAAAGTGATATAGAAATAAAGTTATGTAGTTTTATAAACTTAGTTCAGGAAGGGGACCATGCCCAGAACACGGCTCATTTCCCCTGCACAAGTATTTAAGCTCAAATGAACCCGTTCACTTCCTCTTCGACTCCGTTTTCTCATGACGTACGATTCCCGAGCTGAATACCACGTACTTCACAACATGGACCTGGAGATCTCCCTCACTCCTTCCGACAACGACCTGTTCGAAGACGATACACCAGGAATCTGGAGACGGCACCGTCTCCCATTATCTCTCGCCGCCAGCAAACTCGGCCGAGATCAACCATCTACGACCCCCGCGGCTCCCGACATCTATTCTCGGACCATTCCAAAATCGTCGGTCCTTCGCCGTCCAACAACCCCAGGGGGAGATCCCTCCTCCAGCGTCCGAGGGACATCGTCCCTCCACAACACTGATCTTCCACCCGCTCGAGATCCAGCCGCTCGAACAACGGCCAAAACCAGAGCGACCCTCCTCCTCCACGCCAATACTCCGATGGCCCCCATACATCCCGCTTTTCTGAGTGGACAGTCGCTCGCCTGAAGCACGCACTCACCCAACTCAATATCCATTTCCACCAGTCTGACAAGAAAGCAAAACTTCTTAAACGACTCACGGACGCTCAGCACCACACCTCCCTCGATCGCCGAGCTACCAGAGCACTTCCGGGTTTCCCTCGTTACGTCGATGACGTCATGACGCACAATGTGGACAGACAAGGCCAGTCATTCACACCAGCCCCTCCAGAGGGCCAGGTCGTATCGCACCCCCCCCATTCTCTCTCTGCACCAGGGTCATCTCACCCCGCAGTCTCTTTTCCCCTTTCTGCACTTCCAACCCACGCACATGCTTCCTTTCATCCCAGCATCTCTTCCTCTTCCCTCGCTCCTGCCTTTCCTTCCAACTCGACACCGGCTAAATTAGCCGCACAGAAGGCTCCAACAGCAGGATTCTACGGCGGAGCCAACAGCTAAAACTTTGCATTTCCTCCTGTCTCTGCTTTCAACCCTCTCTTCCCCTACCCTCCCCCTCCCCATAACCCATATGTAACTAACCATGCCTCTTTAAATGCACCCCCTTTTTCCACAGGTCCACCAGCTACCAACCCCAGCTTCCTTCCGACTCATCTTCCTCCACTCACCAGCTTTATATTAGCCACAGCACTACCCCCAGTACGGCCTTTAGCATCCGCCCGACCATCCCCTGTGCCACACACGCTCAGGCAACAGATTCTCGCAGGTAACTACATCGACCTTGCCCAACTCATTCATCCATCCACCTGCAATCCCCATATCCTGAGGGAATTAATCACCGCTTTCGGACCCATCGAACGCCACTCCCCACCCGATCCAAGGAACTACTCTTTCTCCCTATACCGTGATATCATCTGCTCCGTCTTCCCCGACCGCAGGGCCGAGTTGGATGACTACTTGTCACTTATACTCAACTTAGCCTTGCGGTTCGGAGGTAAAGGGTTCTACAACTACCGCATCCTATTGGCATCTGAAGCCGCTGGTCGCGTGCAGCAGTTCAACCAGGGAACATACTGGGGAACACTCGACCCAGAACTATACTGCAGAGTTTCCGCAGCTCATGCCTCTCTCAATTGCGAGCACCGTGGCGCACCCTCCCATCCGCCCACCACATACACCCTCACAGCACCCCTGCCCTCCACCTCAGCTTCCCGTAAACGAAGCCCCCCCATTTACCGAAGCCTGCCTCCATTACTTCCCCCACCATCCATCACCCCTAAACCAGAAATCAACCAGCCAACCACCTCCGGCGGTCCCCCCAGAGGTATGGACAAAAGAGGTAGACCAATCCTCTTCCAGGGCGGGAGGATGGTCTGCAACAACTTCAACGACCTAGGATGCCAATCCTCCAGCTGCTGTTTTCTCCACACCTGCTCCTTCTGCGGGGGGGGCCCATGCAAGACCAACCTGTCCCCATAAACCAACAAAGCACAGCAAGTGTAAGTATCTCAACACACCAATTAACATCCACGCCCTAGCTTCCACCCTTAAAACTCTCCCAGACCACCAGTTCACAAGCTTCCTTATCCAGGGTCTTACCCACGGCTTTCACCCAGGTGTGCAGGTGAAGCCAGAATCTTCCTTCACTTGTAAACATTTGCAATCGGCCATCTCTGAACCCGACACAGTCGACAAGCTCCTGGCTCAGGAAGTCAAAGACGCATTTATGATAGGCCCACTCACTAGCCCACCTTTCCCTATATTTAGAATCAGTCCAATCGGCATCGCTACTAGAAAATATTCAGGCAAAAGAGACTAATTATAGACCTCTCTTCCCCCCACGGCTCCACAGTTCCAAGCATCAACAGCCTAATCCCCAGCCCGGACTACTCCATGCAGTACACCACTATCAACCATGCCGCATCCCTCATTCGCCTTGCAGGTCCAGGAGCCTGGTTGCCTAAAGCAGACATCACCAGTGCCTTTGAAGTACTTCCCATCCACCCCGACTACAGGCCCCTTTTCGGCGTCCTCTGGAATTACTTCTCGGTGCGCCTGACCTTCGGGTGCAAGAGCAGCCCAAAAAGTTTCGATTGCCTTTCCGAAGCACTCTGCTGGATCCTGATGAACGTCCATAAACTCCCGTACGTCATCCACCTCCTAGACGACTTCCTCACTGTCACGCCACCTTCCTCTCCCCCAGCACTCGGCCTTCACACGCTTACCGCCGTGTTCCAGGAACTCGTTGTTCCCCTCTCCACAGAGAAAACAACAGGTCCCAGTACATCCCTGGAATTCCTCGGCATCACCCTCGACTCCGTCTCACTCCAAGCATCCCTACCTACCGAGAAAGTCAACCGGATTTCATTACTAATCTCTAATTTCCTCCTGGCCCCCAAATGCACCAAACACCAACTCCTCTCGCTTTTAGGCCACCTCAACTACGCCATCCGCATCATCCCTCAAGGCCGATCCTTCTTGTCTCGCCTCCTCTGTCACAAAGCTCCACGACCATGTCACACTCGACAAAGCATGCAAGACAGAGCTAAAGCTATGGCACCAGTTCCTCCCCTCTTGGAACAGCATTTCCTTCTTCTACGAAGAACACGTCACCAAGCCGGAAGACATCCAACTGTACACAGACGCAGCACCCTCCATCGGTTTTGGCGGCCTCTATGGCGACAAGTGGTTCTCAGCCGCATGGCCGCCTGAATTTTCATCCCTTACTCCTTCCTCCGCAATCTCCGAAATGTATCCAATAGTGGTAGCAGCCATTCTTTGGGGGCATGAATGGTCAAAGAAGACCATTGCCGTCTACTCGGACAACAGCGCCGTCGTAGACATCATCAATAAAGGGCGGTCACATTGTCCAGAAATAATGATGTTCATGCGGAGACTAACCATGGTTTCAGCCCAGCACCAGTTCATCATCCGAGCCTCCCACATCCCAGGTCACTACAACTCCATCGTTGATTCACTTTCCCATTTCTCATTCCAGAAATTCAGACGATTAGCGCCAACCTCAGACCCTGTGCTGACTCCGTCCCCACCGTTTTCAGTCACCATCTTCAACTGACCCCGCAACTGAAACACCTAATCTCCCCCTCTCAAGATGCTATCCTCAACAGCGTCGCCCCTCAAACACTCATATGTCACCGGATGGAAACGCTTCAAAGCCTTCCACGCCTCTTTTAACCTTCCCTTCCCATCACTCAGTATCCTTACCCCCCCAAACTTCATTACTTTTGCCCATTCCCTCCTTAAGATAAAATCCTTCACGATACGGGTATACATAAGCGAAATTAGCTTTTTCACAAAACTGTCCTCAGGAACGCCGTGCCCAGCCTCCACCCACTCGCATATAGCGATGTTACTCAAAGGTCTTCGTAAAGCCAACCACGGCCTATGCCTAAACGTCTGCCCCTCACCTCGGACCTTCTCACCCGCTGCATTCATACTCTCTGCTCTGGCTACCTCTCTCCCTTCATGGACAAAGTACTCGAGTCCATGTTCTTGCTGGCTTTTTTCGGCTTCCTTCGCTGCTCCGAGTTCACCGCCTCAAACTCCGACCACAATCCATCACGACATGCCACCATGTCCGACATCTCAATTCATCCTCCTGACACCGTCATTTATCACCTCAAATGCAGCAAGACCATCCAGTACGGTCCACCTCAGCCTTTCTACCTCTTCTGTCTAGACACATACCTGAGTCCGTATGAACCCATCCCGATTACTTAATCTCAAGATCAGCCGGCCAAACTTCTCCGCTAGATCCCCTTTTCATCACCGAAACGGGCAACGGGGCCACACGGTCCTGGTTCCACCACCACTTACGCTATATATTAGCCAGATCAGGAATACCCCCCGAGTTTTACTCAGGTCATTCATTCCGCTCCGGCGCCGCCTCAGCCACCTCGAGTCAAAGAATTCCAGACCACATCATTAAGATTCTTGGTCGCTGGTCTTCCACCGCGTACCTCTCCTACATCCGCTCCAATCTGAACGATATCATTAACGCCCACCGGCATCTGTCCTCATGAGGCTATCTTTGGGGACTCTGCACCGCCAGAGATTCCTAAGAGACGGCCCCCACCCAACAGTCCCCGTTCCCACAGCCGTCGGACACCAACGGTCCCCCCACCACATCCTTTCATCCCTCTACCTCGATCCCTACCCTACATCCCTTCATCCCTCTACCCCTACCCTACATCCCCCTACCCTACATCCCTTCCGCTTCCTAAATCTTACAATCATCTCATTACGCAATAAACCTCTAAACTCATACTGTTATTGGCGTGATCCTTGTTAGTGAAATCACAATTATCATTATTCTTGGTTTTCTTCTGTTTACAGTGTTCAATAGAGAGCATACACTATATGTGCCGTCCATATATTGCACTGCTTTGTTGTATATTTTCTGTAGAATTGAACAATCTCTATCTGTAGAAGGTGAGAGTACTTTTCTTTTTTTTTAACTGACTTTTTATTTAGGTTTCAACAACATAACAACATGCATTTTCAGACAGTTACTTTCTTTGTCCATTTTTCAGCTGTATGTAGTCTTGGTACACATGATATTCAGGTATAGTGTACAACGCACAGAAGGAACAAACAACATCAAATGGTGCTCACTCCAAGAGAAAAAGAGGGGAGATAAGAATAAGAATAGATAATTGATTACATGCATAAATAATAAAATAAAATAAAATTAATAAAAACAAGTGTGGTGTATTGATCACATTACGTTACATGGTTGAAATGACTACAAATGCTTTTTGGACCTCAGTGAACACGGTCCTTTCACAGTAACTGTAGCGCGCATGCGCAGTACTGAGTTAAGAGTTATCCATGGCCGAATAAAGTAACTAACGCTACATGGCGTCCACCTCGTGAATACACAACAGTAATTGGCGACGAGGATAAAACTAAGTTCTCGCAGGGAAGGAGAGACACTCGATGTCAGTACTAGTGAGTACGATGGCCCTGTTTGGGAGAATTGACGAGTTCAAGCCAGAAAATGAACAATGGTCAGCGTACATTGAACGGATGGAACAATTCTTCGAAGCTAACGACGTAGCCGAAGATAAGCAAGTAGCTACGCTTCTCAGTGTAATGGGTGCGGCTACTTATGGGCTTTTGAGAAATCTGGTGCAGCCCAGGAAGCCAAAAGATAAGACATTTGACGAAATAGTGGCCGTTCTAAAAGGAACATTATGAGCCCAAGCCCTTATTAGTAGCTGAAAGGTTTCGCTTTAAACGGTGTAACCAAAAAGCTAACCAGCCGGTGGCTCAGTATGTAGCAGAGTTGAAACAATGCACATCTAACTGTGAGTTTGGCGCCAACTTGGACGCATCACTGCGAGATCGGTTTGTCAGTGGAATAAGAAACGAGGGCTGCCAGAGGAGACTACTTTCGGAAAATGATCTTACTTTTGCAAAGGCTTTTGAGATTGCGCTCAACATGGAGACTGCCGACAGAGACACACGTCAGTTGAGAGGGATGGAAAGTGAAAGTGTCGGGGTGGCAAGCATTCACAAGGTGAGGCCACAGCGGACAAGGAACTGTTACAGGTGCAATGGAAAAAATCACGAGCCAGATGAGTGCCGTTTTAAAGAGACTAAATGCCATAACTGTGGCAAGACTGGGCATATTAAAAAGGCATGTCGGTCTAAGGCACAGGCAGAGAGTGAAAGGCATTCACAGGGCAGAGGAAAGAAACACAAAATATGTGGAAGCTGAAGAAGACACTGAATTGGGTGTGTTCACAATTTTGACTGTCACAAGTGAAGATGCTGACCTGTATAAAGAAATATTCACGGTAGCTGAGATGAAGTTAGAGATGGAAATAGATACTGGGGCTGCAAGGAGTATCATTTCACGGGGTACATACAGGGAGAAATTCTCACACTTACCACTGCAGAGAAGTAAAGTTAAGCTTAAAGCTTATAATGGAGGTCACATTCCTGTACTGGGGCAGATCACAGCCAAGGTGGTCTATGAGGGTCAAACAGTGAATTTTCCACTTTTAGTTGTTAAGGGTAATGGATCAACACTGTGTGGCAGAAATTGGCTAAGAAAACTGAGGCTAAACTGGGAGCAGATAAAACATCTGTATGAAGCTAAGTGTACATTGCTTAGTGAGGTTCTGGATAAATAGCACCCATAGTGCCAGTGGTGAAAAAAGACAAGTCACTTTGCCTGTGTGGGGATTATAAAGTGTCAGCTAATCAGGCAGTTGAAACAGAAACCTACCCCTTGCCACGTTTAGAGGAGCTGTTAGCAACCCTTAGTGGAGGTAAGATATTCTCCAAGATAGACTTAGCTACAGCCTACCAGCAGGTGTTACTGGATGATGACTCCAAGAAATACACTACCATCAACACCCACAGAGGGTTGTTTGTGTATAACAGACTTCCTTTCGGAATTAGCTCTGCACCGTCCATCTTCCAGCGGATTATGGAAAATCTAATGAAAGGCTTACCAGTGGTTGTTTTTCTTGATGACCTGCTCATTATGGGACGCACAGAGAAGGAACATCTCCACAACCTTCAGAAGGTCCAACAAGAAAATGGACTACGAGTGAAATGTCCAAGTGCGAGTTTGGCAAAACTCGAATAGAGTACCTGGGCCATGTGCTGGATGAACAGGGCACACACCCTTCAAAGGACAAAGTGAGAGCTATTCAGGAGGCTCCGGCTCCTACTAACGTCAAAGAGCTCCAGGCGTTTTTAGGACTTCTTAATTACTGTTGTGTATTCACGAGGCGGACGCCATGTAGCGTTAGTTACTTTATTCGGCCATGGATAACTCTTAACTCAGTACTGCGCATGCGCGCTACAGTTACTATGAAAGGACCGTGTTCACTGAGGTCCAAAAAACATTTGTACTCATTTCAACCATGTAACGTAATGTGATCAATACACCACAACAACGGATGAAGAAATAATAATTGTCCACTCCTGAATGTAGTATCGTAGGTGCTATATATGCTTTTCAGAGAGGATGGTGTATAATGTGTGTGTATAGAGAGAGTTAACAGGTAACAGTTCAGCCAGATCGAGCAACATATAGTAATAACCCTTATTGTATTAATAATGCTGCGACAGGACCCCATCGTTTAGTAAAGATAGGCTTTTGGAGCCGTAATGAATATGTGATTTGCTCCATTTGATAGATGTCCCGTACTTTTTGGATCCATATATTGTATGTAGGGGGATCCGGTTTTAACCATCTGATGGTTATACCCTTCAATGCTGCTGTGATTAGTATGTTCAGAAGGTATTTTTTGGCCCTCTCATCCAGGCCTTCAGGTATCGCTCCCAATAGTGCTACTGTGGGGTCTTGTTGGATGTCCTGTTGGAATATCTCTTCGAGGGCGTCAAAGACTTCTCTCCAGTATGCATTTAACTTAGGACATAGCCAGAATATATGTGTGTGATTGGCAGCACGTGTTCCATAGTTCCACCAACACAAGTTGGGATGTGTTGGGCCCATCTTGGTTACTATTTCTGGTGTTCTGAAGAGTCTGGTGATTATTTTCCATTTAAATTCCCTCCAGGTGTTTGAAACTAGGTGTGCCTCTGTGCACATTTCCTCCTAGGTATTCTGTGGTATGATCTTGTTAATTTACGCCTCCCATCTCTGCTTTATCTGTAGGGAATTATGTAGATTCATAGATAGAAATATGTTATATAGTTTACTTATTGTTTTCTTATCTTTGTTCCTCATCTGCATTTCTATTAAAAACCTTTCTATAGGCGTAGTGTTCAAGCTCTGATCGGCTCTGTGTGATCTAATTGGTTACAGTTGTTTTCACAGGTGCATTCTGGGTGCTGGTGATTGCTATTGAGTGGGGTATTTAAATGGCAGGTTTTAACAAACAACACTATCTAATGTCAATAACCGTATGTTGTTATTTGCAAAAATGTTATCTGGAATTTCTGACAGGAGGAAGTGGTTTAAATAACTGTGCAATGAGTTCCAGTTTTTTATATTTTGGCAATTGCAAAACATTATAATAAAACCTGCTTGTGTTCACATGGAACGTGAACGTTGGCATGTGCACGCAAGTA